TGTTGGATGGCCGAGCATTCTCCTTGCTAGGCCTTATGCAGTGGTGGGCGGAGGTTTGGTTCTCTGATGCTGGCTTCGGTTTTGGTTTGTTCGGCTGACATTTGGATTCGACTGTTGTGGGGGACGTTTTAGTTTGTAGTTAGTTTGTCTCGTTTGTGTTGTGTTGTGCGAGTTTTGTGTCTTATGTTTTGTTTGTGTTTTTGTGTTTTTGGTTTGGGCCATTGGCCCCTGTTAACCTAGGTGTTACATTTATTCTCCTGTTGCGAGCCAACGCCTAGGCATTCTCTCGTTGGGAGCTTTTAGTTTTGTGATTGTGTTTTCTCCCGTTGGGAGCCAGTTTCTAGTTGTTCGTTGTTTGAGTTAGGTTTCTAGGCGGACTTCGGTCTAGCCTTCCAGTTTGTAATTCCGCACATTTGTGCGCCTTTTATATATTTATTCTGTCGTTTTGGAAAAAAAAAACTAATATAAAATGTAGCGATCACTTTTTATCTATAAATTTATCTCTATATATATAATTACTAGCTGATTAATTTAATCCATTTGTCTTATTGAACCAAACCATACCTTAGTGTAGATTACTTTTTTTTCGGAGCGGAGGTTGGCGACTGGCCTAGAGAGAGGTGCCTAGCCCGGCTGTCCGTATGAGGTTTTATAGTGGCGGTTCTCCCACGCGACTAATTGATAAGACCAGAAGGTGAAGTTAAAACATTTAATAAAACCTATTTTCATTTCTTTCCAAAAGGAGTTATATTTTTTAAATTAATTACTTACTAATCTGCTAAAATTGTTACATTTTAATATATATATTTTTATTATTTATTTTTTGGATCAGTTACTAAGTTAGTTTTATATTTGGTAGCAAAATATTCAAAGGTGCAACGGCTAATGTTGGAACTTAAAGTTTATTGACATATTTAGAACTGTAACCGCTATATTTGGTTGCATTGTTGGAAGAAAAATATGATTGACACATATTTTTTTTCTAAAAATAAAAAGCACCAGTAATTTTTTTTATTTATGTTAATTTTCTTAATATATGTCACAAATATATAAATTATTTTATTCATAATACTAATGCGAACGTTGGATGGTTAAAATAATATTTAAATCTCAATTAATTTTGAATTATAAATCTAACTTAAGAAAAGGTAATAATTTTTATATGATAGAAATATATGTCTAATTAATATATACAAACAAAATTAATATATCCAAACAAAAACGTGTTTTATATATGTGCAAATGCACATAATCAAATACTAGTTAAAATAAAGATCGAACAAATAACATTAATTTAATAACCTACAATTATAACAAATATAGATTTAAGCAAATATAAAATGCTCACGTAAAAATGAGACGGAGCTTCAAAGCTTTCATAAAACAAGGATTCGCGCAAGTGAATTCAACAACACCACCACGCTTGTACCAAAAAAATAAAAAACAACACCACGCGCTTACCGGGATAAAGTCTTAACACACTGTACCAAAAAAAAAAAAAGTCTCAACACAAAATCATTTTGGATTTAATATTCCGTATAATGAGGCTAACTTATGTTATATAGTGTATGATATAGCATATGAGAATATTTGGGTAGACCTGCGGAAATTAGCCCGGTCTGTGAGTCGGAAGGATGTTTATAGGCCGAGCCGATAGTAATAGTATTGAAGGGGTTCGGCCCGATGCTAGCTCAATCAGGTGTATTGGGTTGAGCAGATGCAATAATTTGGTAGTGAAGGGGCTCGGCCCAATGTTAGCTCAATTGGGTGTATTGGGCAGATGCGAGAAGATGCTATGATCTGGTAACGAATGGGCTCGGCCCAAATACAGCTCGACTATGTGCATTGCTTGGACTGTAAGTGGGCCGGGAACGGAGCAGAAGTTG